ACCCCCCCCCCCCCAAATGTTTTCAACTAACTTCAGGTGCTAGTGACATGAATGCACAAACCCTTATGGAAAAACCTTTCACTAATTTTCACTAGGAGGGAGGCATAAAAACAGGCATATTTGTCATTAAGATCTGGAAAAAGGGAGGGAGGGAATTAAAGTTAACAGGAATAAATTGATATGTTATTTTGAATATATCAGAATGATAAAATACAGAAAAAATTGTTCCACCTATGGCCCTGATCCTGTAGACATTTATACGTGTTTAATTTTGTTAGTTCTTTGTTATCACCTGAACAAGCATTTTATTAACAAGTTTGAGGCACGTTAATACAAAGAAAGCATTGACCTGAAATACATGCCACCACCCAAAAAGCACACAAGCAATTACACAGGCAGACGAGGTGCTTTGGGTAAATCCGATATCTTTTATCAAATAAAACTCTAATAAAAGATACCGGATTTACCCAAAGAACTTGTCTGCCTATGTCCTTAGACCAACGTGGCTACGACCTGCACCCCTACAAGCAGTTACAAATGACAATCACATCTTTTACCAAAACATGGGACTCAATAAGCCACAAGATCAACTTATTTGCAGCAGTGTTTGTTTTTAATGTCTGGTTTCTATTCCAATGGTTTTTGGAAATGCATAACCACCGTTGTTAATGGCCAGAACAGGAGATGTGATTAATGATGCTGACTGATGTGTCCATGCTGCCTCGTTGTCACCCGGATCAAGCCACTCTGGGAGTAGGACCGCTAAAACACGTGGCCCAATGGGTAATGCTTGGGCTCCCGCAGGGAACCAGCTTCCCGTTCACCCTTTCAGCCTTTCCTTGGTTGAGGCGCCCAGTGGCACGTGGGGATTCTGGCCCGTGGGTTTAGGCATCTCTGCAGTCCAGGCATGAACTACAACTCCCAGCATCTCCCGCGCTCGGGCCCTGAGGCACCCAAGAACTCGAGGGCAACCCTGCCTGTCTGAAAGCGGCGCGTGACGCTGAATAGCGCAAAGTGTTGTGAATTTCACCGCGAGTGGACACAGTAGCGTGTGAACGAAGCTGCGCCCCGGTTTTAGACCCTGCACTGGGGGCAAAAGGTGGGGCTTTTTAATCAGGCACTGCGATGGACACCCCGCACTATTTCTGGGCCTCTCTGCGTGGGGTCGCGGGAAGTCGGTTTCGAAGATGGCGGCGCCGTTGGCGGTAAATTCAGGTAAAAAAAAAAAAAAGCCGAGGTGTGGGGTGGCAGCGCGTGTGGCCCCTGCCCCGCCCGTGATCCAACTCCCCCCTTCACCCCGCCTCGTGCGCGCGGAGCGTCTGGGCCGTGGAGCGGGGCCGCGTGGGCTCCTGGTGGCGGTGGCAGGAGAGCGGGGCCTGGCGGCGGGCCCGGACCCGAGGGTGTGACCAAACGTCCAAATAGCCAAGTGCTGGGTGCGTGGTGTGTTGGCTCCGTGAAGCTGTCGGGCGATGCTATTGTCCAGGCCAGGCAGGACCAAACTTCCCAGCCTTTTTAGCCGTAGCCGAGAACTGCAGGCACATAAACGTTTTTTATGCTGAATGTCTGGAGTCGATGACTGGCTTGCCGGAGCCCAGGTCTATACTAATGCATCGTTATTTTTTTTTGAAGCAAATCACATGTAGGAAGTAATAAACAGACAGAGAGGGAAAAGAAAAGGTTTTTATTTAGCTGCTTCTTTTTCTTGAGGAGTTGCATTAAATTCTCCAAGAACTCTTTGTGGCTTGCAAGCCATGGCATGGGCACATGTGATGTAGTCCAGGGGTTTTCAACCTTTTTTTAAGGAGTGTGCCCCTTCTGGGTGGTGGCAGCTGGATACGGGGAGGGCTACACACAGCGTGAGCATAGGGTGGTGGATGGCAGTGGCAGCTGCCATGTGCGAGTTCCTCCCCACTGTGTCTGACTGTCCAGGCATTGCCTGTGCGGCCTGCAGAGGGGAGCCACTACCCCCCTGTCCCCCCGGCCCTGCTCCTGGGAGGCGGTGGTGCGGGGTGGTGTGCGGTGGCGCTCCACCCCTGCTCACCCATACGTACCCCCTAGCCCCTTTTTAAGTACCCCTGGGGGTATGCATACCCCATTTGATAATCCCTGATCTAGTCTGATCTCTTGAGTGGCACAGAGGAGGGTTATCCAACTGGTGGCTCATGGGCTGTGTGCAGTCTGCAAGGAGTTAATCTGCTGCCCATGGACTCCCCTTGGCCACTACTACCCTGGTCTTTGGGCAGCAGCAGCAAGAGCCAGGGTCTTCAGGCTCCCTCTCCCTTCTTTGGCTTCTACCTCCTGCCCCTGTCTCAGAGACAGGAGAAGAGCAGTATGGCTAAGTGCAATGCAGGCTGTAGTGCTAGGGGAGCCCGTGGCCAAATAGATGAGCAGGTGGGTTAGTGGGGAGAGGCAGCCCACATGTGCAGTTCAGTGGTGGTGAAAAGAGCTGCCTACTTACGTGGTGTGGGGTGAGCTTGCAACTCCCCCAATATGTGGCCCCTGCTTGTGCAGTCTGCAAGGAGTTGCTAAGAAGTTAAAATTGCCTTGACACAGACCACAGGACTGGATGCAGCAGCTCTTGCTTGAAGCTTTAAATTTGTTTGTTGCTAATATGTAGCTATAAAATAAAAAGCTGTAATTCATCGTGACTGCCACTCCTGGTTTATACAAAAGTGAGAGAACATCAGATGGCAGAAATTTGTCTCAAATGAATTCTGTTGAGAGAATGAGAATTGTTTAGTCTCCTTTATGTCAGGTCTCTTTATTCCATAGAACAGTGTACGTACGTACATACATACATACATACATAATGTATGTAAACTGTATGGGATAGTATGGAAGACTGGAAATGCTGCATGAATGTTCTTTGTACTTGGTTTTGCTACTTAAGTGACGTTAATCTTTGAGGTTAGGAGATATAGCAATAAAGTGAGAAGTTCTAAAAGTCATACTGAGTTAGACCTTGTAAAGGAAATTACAACCAATAGCAAAAGGTTCTTCAGCCACATAATTAAAAAGAAAATCATGAAGGAAAATGTGGGGCTGTTGTGTAGTGAGGGTGTATTAGTAATTAAAGTTAAAGTATACAGGCAACCCCTGCTTAACACTGTTTCGCTTAGTGCTATTTTGCTATAGCGCTCATTTCACTTTGATGCCTGGTTTCACTTGGCGCTCATGGGTTTTGCTATAACACTCATGTATTGGGCAGGGAGCATTGGCGGTGCACAGCCTCATCACCATCTTGCTTTGTCAAAAACTTTGTGCTCTGTGCTCTTTCATGCTCTTTTGTTGCTTGTGTCACCATCTTGCTTTGTTTTTTGAGTTGTGCCATGAGTCAGAGACATGCAACTGACTCTGAGAATACAAGTGCTGAGAAAAAACAGCGCAAAAGCATAATGCTGGAGCTTAAATTGGATGTCTTGAAGCAAATAGAAGCAGGGGAATGCCAGAATGAGGTCTGTAGAGCGTTGAATTTGGCTGGGTCAGCTGTTAAGACCATCTTGAAAATTTAAGACAAAATAAAAGAATGTGATAGATTTGCAACTCCTTTGAATGCTTTGAAACCCAGTAAGCGTAGGGCTCCAATTATGTTAGAAATGGAGAAGCTAAGTGTGTGGATTGAGGATACAACTCAATGCCATAAGCCCTTGAGTATGCTGCTTATTCAGAAGGTGGCCAAGAGTCTGCATGATGGTTTACAGAAAAATGTGCCCAAGGGGTCTGCTGCTGATCCTTTTTATGCAAGTAAGGGGTGGTTTGAAAGATTTAAGAGGCGCAGCAGCTTGCATAATGGTTTTATTCAGAGGGAGACTGTTAGTGCTGACACCCAAGCAACTTCCAGCTGTAGAAATAAGCTTGTGGAAATTATTGAGGAGGGGGTTTATATGCTTCAACAAGTCTTCAGTGCTGATGAGACAGGCCTCTTCTGGAAGAGGATGCCTTCTAGGACCTACATTTCCAGAGAGGAGAAGTTGATTCCAGGTTTCAAGGTGTCCAAGGATCGACTTATTTTATTGCTTGATGGTAATGCTACAGGGGATTTTAAATTGAAACCATTGCTTGTATACCACTCAGAAAACTCCAGGGCTCTCAAGGGATATCTTAAAAGCAGTCTGCCAGTCATTTGGAAGTCTAACAAGAAGGCCTGGGTGACCATGTCAGTCTTTCAGAGTTGGTTCAGGGCTTATTTTTGTCCTGCAGTTGAGTGGAGATCTTCAGGAACAAATGATCTCTATTTACATTCATTCCTATGGGAAAATTGGTTTCACTTAATGCTGTTTTGCTTAGTGCTTGATTTTTCCGGAACTAATTAAGAGTGCTAAGCAGGGGTTGTCTGTATACAGATACTCCTCGCTTAATGTCGTAGTTATGTTCTTGAAAAATGCGACTATAAGCAAAACAATGTTAAGTAAATCCAATTATATCACAGTAGTTACCTACTAGTAGGCGACAGCCAAACAATGCTATAACCGAGCATTGCGCGATTTTAAATAAGTATGTTCTGTAATAGATCAGCAGCGTAATAACAAAACAGTGTTAACCAGGACAAGGTTAAGTGAGGAGTACAGCCCAAGTACTAAATTAAGATTTTGCCTTAGTTTTCAATAGGGATGAGGGGCACAGGTGGTGTTCTCTTTAGTCCTCCCAGTCTTGGGGTATGGGCTGAGGAGGGAGAGGAGAATCCAGGTAGTTAACCAAAGACTGCGGCGCTGGTGTCATTGGGAAGGCTTTGGCTTCCATGACTCCAGCCTGCTCTTTGGAGAGAGAGGCAGCAAGCTACTGGGAAGAGATGGCCTCCACCTCTCTCCGCTGGGGAGGAGGCTCTTCTCAGCCAGACTGGCTGACCTGCTCCACCGGGGTTTAAACTAAGCCTGTTGGGGGATGGGGGGACTACCGCCACTGCTGGCCTGCTGAGCAACCTTTGCAAAGCCAGCAGGCCAAGGCACTTAAGGGAGCCCACCCCTGCCCCAGCCCTGGTACAATCTGTGGGTAAGGCAAGAGCCCCCAAGGAGAAACTTTCCTGCCTATACACAAATGCCAGGAGCTTGGGGAATAAGCAGGAGGAGCTCGTCCTCCCGCTTAATGCAAATAATTATGACGCCATAGGGATAACGGAGACCTGGTGGGATTCCACCCATGACTGGACCATGGGTATAGATGGCTATACACTGTACAGGAGGGATCGTGTAGATGAAAGAGGCAGGGGGGTAGCTCTCTATGCTTGGGAAAGCTACGTGTCCCTGCAAGCTGATGTTGGCGACCAGGGTGGACGACTGGAGACCCTCTGGGTTAAAATCTGTGGGGAACACGGCACAGGGGACACAACGGTGGGAGTCTACTACAGACCTCCTACCCAAAGTCAAGAGCTTGACAAGGAGTTTGCCCGGGAACTGGCTGAGGCCGCGTGC